GGAAAGGGGAGATATCTTACATTCCTCAAGTAATTCATACGCAGTAATGCAGGTCGACCCTAACTTTGTATTTTGATTTATATTCCTAAACGAAATATGCAATACAGACCTGAGACTAGTGTCAGTTAGGACTTCCCTTTTTCGAACTCTTAAGGCATTTTCCAGGGAATTCCCGACTTTTATCCCTGATCTACACATTTTTATGGAAGGCACGAACAGCTCCCTCCACGGTAGTTTACCAAAACGTTGGTGGGCCAACCAGTAGCCTCTTATTTCTCCTGGCACACCAATGGCAAGTCCTCCTATTAAGAAAATAATTATGTCAAGAACATCATCGTAATAAATGCTCCCATCCCTGATCTTACCTTCAGTTAAAGGGATATTAACTCATCGTTTTGGCAAAAAAATGAATTTTCCTGGAGTAAACAACAATTTTTCCATACTTACCAATGGTTAATGAATCCATTTTTACATTCAAAATTAGTCCCTGTTTTTTTTTCTAAATTTTTTTTATAATCTCTTAAGAGTAAGACTATAGCCATCAATGGAGGTCACGTGGCCTAGGACAAGCTCAGATATCAGAATACTAACTATAACTGCCGTTTTTGTGGTAAAACAGAATATATAATATTTCTATGAGTTGTTCACAATGTTTTTATTGTGATATATAGATCTCAGACGAAGAGTTATTATCCCTTTAAGATCTACGCAGTCTCCAAATCCCTTGTAAATAATAACAATAAAAACAGTAAATAGTTTTTTTGAAAAATAGCATAATTCTGCGCCTGCATAGTCATCGAATTTTTTTTCTAATCTTATGGCATGGCATGCAGAGACACACTAGCGTCGACTCACCTGCTGCTGAAAAACTGAAGTCCGTGCTTGAGCACAACTTAAGAAAGAGAGAGAGAGAAAAAAGTTTTTGCCACATTTTGAAGTGTCACAAGCTATCACGCAAGGTTACACGGCATGTATACCCATATTGTTTTACTAGTACTTTACAGCCTTACCAATAGTAGATGCGGTTTTGCTAGGGTTGTTGGTGAACATGGTCTCATTAGCGGAAGCCGGTGCTTGTTCCCTTGCATCAATTGTATATGCTGTTTTGTTGGCCCTTATAACAATGAATATTATTGACTGTGTATTTTCTCATGTAGACAAACAACCAAAAAGGTACAGAGTGATTTTGAATGTATGTCAACACTACGACTTCCATGACTTTTTCTTTCAAGATCCAATCAAATATATCCTAAAACAAGGAACTTTCTAAATATCAAGTAAATGTTGTTGAAAAGGATGCAATGTCATTAACAGATTCTTTTAGTTTCACACTCTGTTCAAAAGATTGACCTTACATATGTTATATACATGTTAAAAAACTATATTTGATATTTAAGCAATATTTAAAAATTAATTTTACAGCATATATATATATATATATATATATATATATATATATATATATATATATATATATATATATATTTATTTATTTATTTATTTATATATATATATATATAACCTGTTATAAACTGTCATGAAGAAACCTCCTCCGAGGCCCATACTGTGCGGATTGTGTACTCCTATACATAACAATGATGCGATGGCCGCATCCACTGCTGAGCCATACCGGACAAGAAATTCTCTGGAAAAAAAATGGATAAATGATAAGTGGGTTGGCAGTAGTGGGCAGAGAGGGAGTGCACTGATAAAATGGCACATTAACAGTTATATTTACACATACAACTGAATAACCAGATCACTGGGTCTGAGCTACAGATTATATTTGAACTGATCCTCTTGTTTTTGTTGTCAATAAAGGGGCAACATGAAAGGGCAAATCTGAATACTGAACCACTCATAAGCTACATAGCACAGCATACAGACGCAAATTACATGTACTTGTAACTTACGTCCCCACTTCTGAGCATTCTCCAGCATCCGCAGCTACGGCGGCAAACCTGTATTCTCCCAGTCGTGAAGCCGAGGGAGGTGCCTCAGGGTCATCAGCTGCAATTACAGTAGCAGTAGTTCCACCTTTGGAGGCAGACACGCTGCTTTTTGACGTGCCACCCACAGGTATGGTGCCAGTATCGATGAGAACTGCAATTAATCCCACCGCTGCCACCACAAGCACAAATACCAGCAAAATTGCGCATCGTTTGCGGAAACTGAAAAAAGGGTATCTTCAAATTTCATTGATAGAATATATAGAAAATCAATTGGTCCAAGATACTGTATCCGCTCTGGAAGTTGCAAAATGGAAAGCAGTACGCCTCAAATCTTTTGTGAATGATCTTAGATTAACATAAATACGAAAATAAACCAAGAACAATTCATCCTGGAAAAAATCTACTGGTCAGTTGAACAAACGTGTTTTTTATAAATGTTACGTATCTTTGGAGATGCGTACACGATGGAACTTGGAAATAAATATAAGGCTAGACTCATTTTTTTGCAAAATATCAACAAACCAGTACTGCATATGTATGTCACGTTTTTAGTTCAAACTTTTCTTGCAAGAAACGTAGCATATTTCTTGTCTTTTCATAATTATAAATGACTTGATGCAAGAAACATTTTCCTGTTAGCATATATATATTAGACACACAACATTGGTCAAAAAGGCTGTCCCACCCCGCTTTTCCGCTTTTATTTATAAATGATTACATGGAGTGACTTTGGGGGGGAATCCAGGCTTCATCATGACAGCACACTTGCTCACAGTTCTGGTCTGGTGAGTGATTAGTTGCAGAAACCCAATGTTCTGAGGCTGCAAAAACCATCTTTGAGTCTTGATAATAAACCTACTGAGCACCCGTGACATGAACTGAGGTGTGCAGTCTAGAGGAGAACCAAACTCTAAATAGTCCAGACCAATTCCGCCAAGCTTTTTGGGAAACATGGGACAATATCCCACAAAACAAAATCGTTACCCTTGTTGAAGGCAGCGGCGCCGTCTTCAGGAGATAATCACAGTATGCGGTAAACACACATGCTAATAAACACGTGACCTTTAACGAATACCTTTAACGAGTGTGTAAATTTGGTGACATTTGGCGGTGTCTTTTCAATTTAATGTGAAAATCACAGTGAAACGTTGGACTTGAGGGGGTACATGTAATAAATGTGAATAAATGGTACCCTACTAAATATTGATATCTACACGCTTGTTTTTATTTTCTGTACCACTTATCATGTTAGTTGTGGTATCTGGAATGAAAATACAATCAAAGCAACTAACTCCTGTGATGTGATCATTTATAAATAAAAGCGCATGAAACTGGGGGTGGGATAACCTTTTTGACCAATGTTGTATACCTTTCGTACCTTCTTCAAATTGATTTTGAAATGTTTTTCAGCCAAATAAAGCCTTTTGAAATTTATGGTAGGGTCGAATAACACAACATCATGTTTTCATTAAAAATGGCAGCAAAATTGGCAAAATAAAGAAAAACAAAGCGAAAACTGTCAAATCAAGTTCCTTTCAAAAGGAGAGTGATCACTAATGCCTGTTAGAAAAACGAAGCAACATGTCGATGGGTAGGCCTATACAGGAGCATGTTTGTTTGTAGCCCCACCCCTTCCCCATGATAAAAATAAAGAGACAGTTACCCTTATAACATGCACATACATTTGAACTCTTGTAAAAAGAGTATATAGGGCATATGAATAAGCAAACATTATTGATATCCTGCCACACTGAATGGTAGCAAGCTCGTTTAATTCACCCGGCTGGATTTGACAACAAAATATGTAAGGGGTAAACGTCACAGGTGCGCAAAAACCGATGACGTTTCATCACGCCATCGTGTTTTTTTATGATGATTTAATATTAGGATTCTGTACCCTACAGCTTCGTATGTGTTCACAAAAAATAATTACCTGATACGTTTGGGCTGTTTCTTTCCCTCGACTTGACCCCTACTCCTGTAGTCATGCACAGCGTTTTGCAGCGATTCCTTCATGGTGGTAAAGGGCCTTTATGACACTGTTCTCTTCATCTAACTCCCTAACCCAATGACTTGCTGTTTTAAGTCAACCTAACAGCCCTTGTATCTATTTACATATATAACACCGTTTCTGACATTCAATTGGCTTACATACTTTGCAAAAGAATACTGAATGTAAATCACGACATATACGGTGTCCTTATATAGTACTTGTCAACAAAAAGAGATGAGCACCGGACATAGGGCCCGGTGCACCAACAGGTCGTAATAGGTGAAGCGTAGAAAAGCCAGTTGCACCAAGCTGGAATAGTGTTTACGTCGGTATTAACTTAGTCGTAAATTAACGTCTGCCAGCTAGGTGGTGTAAGTCGGTCGTAGCTCGTTTTCCACTATGGCTAGGCTGGCACAGAGAGAGTTTGATGACAATTATCGTAGTTAACGTAGAAAATCTAGGTTGTTATTTGTTTGTTTCTTACACAAAACTTCCGTTTGTATAGCTTGGTTTTTATCAAATAATAATAATAATAATAATAATAATAATAATAATTATATATATATATATATATATATATATATATATATATATATATATATATATATATATATATATCACAATTTCTTCATCTTATTTCAACAAACAAAAAATTTACGATGAGGAGGCATAATATAGGCCTATACAATGTAATCACTATATATACGGGAGACCGGAGCTAGTTGGCCCAGTTACACACTTTTGGCCTTGTAGAGCCAACTAGGAATGAGTTAGAGTAACAAAACCGGTTTTAAAGTAAGCCCCATGAACTAAGCTACGTATGCAATGTCATTATTTTTCAAATATAATGCCAGATGGCTCACAATTTGACAAAAAACGCAGTTGACGTCAGGGGGGCCAACTTGCCCCGCCACGGCAAGTTGGCCCCCTACACAAAAATGAAGTAAATATCCCATGTAAACGCCTTGAAATACATTTTTGTACATTTTTAATCTATTAAATTGATTTTTGAGAGTCTTTGATGAATAAATAGTTCAAATGAGGCACATTTTTTTAGGTTTCCGTACGTCACGTTGTAGGGGGCCTATGTGTTGCAAGAACCAAAATATCTATCAAAAAAATTTGTTTTGTTTTAATAAAGAATAAATTAATAATGGCATAAAGAAGGTTTTTAGTGAATGAAAACGAATAATAATTTTTTGTTTTAAAAGAAAGTAACAAATTCAGTTTCAAACCATTGAGTTTGTTTTAACAATGGTCTCTAGCTCTGTTGCGCGCAAAGGTTTGTGGGTAATATGAGGGTCCAACTTGCCCCGAGTCAAGGGGGCCAACTAGCCCCGGGTGCACACTTTTTATTTTAAAGGATGGCAGCCATTTATGGTGCTAGAATGAGCAACGATGATACATCTCTGTGAAACTTGAAACAATGAGCTTCAGTTTGATGCCCTATACATACAGCTGTATATCATATTCTATCAAAAGCCCATGAAAATAGATTTTAAATATCTCAAACTAAATTACTTTTAGGTGCAAAAATCGTTTATTTCGATTCACCGCTTAAGTAAAACTTTTTAACGTCTGACACTTCCTTAGCATTATAGGCTAAGGTCACTTTACAAGAGTATGTGGCCAATTTTTTTACTTCGTAGTTACTTTTTCATAAATTAACGGGGGGCCAACTTACCCCGGGGTCCAACTAGCCCCGGTCTCCCCTATATATATATCAGGGGCGGATTTAGGGCGTCTTCTGGGTCTTCCGGAAGACGGTCAGATTTTCAAATTTACACGGACGGGTATCTAATTTTAATCTGTCGGAAGACGGTCAGAAATGGAAGATGGATCAACAAAGATGATTTGGAAGACTGTCAGAAAATATTTCTGGATCCGCCCCTGTGTATATATATATATATATATATATATATATATATATATATATATATATATATATATATATATATATATATAACACTATAAATGCGAAGGGAATTCCCCTTACAATGAAGACAAAATAAATGTTAATCTAATATGTGTGTGTGTGTGTGTGTGTGTGTGTGTGTGAAGAATATTATTACCTGATACGTTTGGGCTGTTTCTTTCCCTCGACTTGACCCCTACTCCTATAGTCCTGCACAGTGTTTTGCAGCGATTCCTTCATGGTGGTAAAGGGCCTTTATGACACTGTTCTCTTCATATAACTCCGAAACCCAATGACTTGCCGTTTACTAAGTCAACCTAACAGGTCTTGTATCTATTTACATATAGGCCCTATACCAGCGTTTCTGACATTCACTTGGCTTACATTCTTTGCAAAAGAATAATGAATGTAAATCACGACATATACGGTGTACTTATATAGCACTTGTCAACAGAAAGAGATGAGCACCGGACATCTATCTGCACGTCCACGATACTGGGCCAGGTTGCACCAACAGGTCGTAATAGGTGAAGCGTAGCAGTTGCGCCGAGCACAGGACTCAAACTACTGCACATGCCCGAAAAGTACTCTGTTTGAAATAAACAAATGGTGAAATTGACAAAGCCTGCCTGTGGTTGATTTAATTTAATTTGCTTTCTGGTGTATTTTGAGAGGTTATATTAGAAATATACTGTTGATTGTATGTATTAAAAAGCAAATCCATCGGACTTTCCTTAGATTAACATTTATTTTGTCTTCATTGTAAGGGGAATTCCCTTCGCATTTATAGTGTTATATGTGGCCCCAAGGGGATTTTCCACCCCTCCCCCACTCTTGATTAATAAAATTCTTCATCGGGCAGATTGAAAATTATATTGCAAAATACACTGAAAATCGTAGGAAGGTTAAAGACAGTCTCAGCGCGTTAAACCCTTAAAATAGCACGAAAATGAATTTTCCTGAAAATCTCACCAATTTCCCCATAATGACCAAGGTATATCCTATCCAAAACCGTTCAGAAAATGAAGCTACCTAATACCGTTTTTAAGTTCCATTAAATAATAAAAGACGACTCGTCTTAAATACTCAGCTACCACCTCACAGTACGGCTTCAGAACGCGCAATTTCTCGCTAAGTCTCGCGGTTTACTATGAATGAAGTACTACGGCTGAGACCCGGATGTTACTATTTGGCGCCAAAACAGCAAACATGGAGACGCGCGTCAAGTCTGAAGAGGAGAGCGACAAAAGGGGACGAAAGAAAATAGCCACTCCAGTTCGAAAGATACGAAAGAAAATTAGAGACAGACGAAGAAGCACTCAGACTGTGTATGTTGGGAGGGAGGTGGGGCGGTGGAGGACACTTAAAGCTGAGTTAGGA